TCTTTGCACGCGGTGTTGTCAGATCATAAAATACAGTGGCTTAGGATCAATGAACTTTAAAATTCTAAATTGATCTTGGAATTAGGATGTTATTTAAGATGTCTTAAGCTTCACTTGTGATATTTCCTTGCCAGAGCTGGATCATTGCTCTGAATTCCTGTCTGCCAATTACTTTTCTTTTAACTCCACAAGGGGTATTTTTTTAATTGGAATATTTATATATCTTTAAGAAGAATAAAGGTTTTGTAAATAGGATCACAGCCAAACCTTCCTTTCAAGAAGATGAAATCTGAGTTTAGGATGGAGAATATGCCTCAATTTCAATTTGCAAAGACATATAATAATATAATCCCATTTACTTCCTACTTAGATGAACTTGAAGTGTTTTCAGCTGTGGTATATTAAATTCGCCTCATAGAGAATAGATTTGAGTGGATACTTAAGGCCTTTTCCTAGCTAGTTATGTTTAAGTTAAATGAATAAACATATTTTAATGTCTTAATTACAAAAACAAAACGTGTAGAAATCTATGATCTGCCCTATCATTTGGAAATAAACTGAAAAATCCTATTAGGTTGGAATTAAGTGGAAAATAGTTTTCCCCTCTGGGGATTTTTAATTTATTCAGAATATTTATATAATTGCCTACTAGTGAATCCTTTGAGATTACTTTGTTGGAGAAGCTCCTTAACTCCAAACACATTTTTCTGGAGGGCAAGGGGATATTATAATTAATTTCAGCATGGAAGGAAGTCTTCTTATTATTATTTATTCTTTCCATCACCTCCTCACGCCCGTTTCTCATCTTCTTCTTCCCTGGATGAGCTCATTTTCAATTCACATGGACTTTGAAGCATTTTGGATTAGGCCTAGTTAGTTCAGCCTCATAAGGGGATGGGAAGAACTTTGAACGTAGATGGGAAATTAAACAGTTTAGCTATCTGAGAAGATGAACCACCTCTGAATGTCAATTCCAAGTCAGGGTGCCGGGCTCTCTGTTGGGAGACAAAGGCCATTCAGCTACACTGCCAAAAACCAATGACTGACAACTTGTTATAGTTGTGAAAGCCTTCACTACTTTTGCAATCATCTTTCCTGTTTTTTTTTTTATCTCACCTGAATTCATGGAAATATGTCTTTTCTATACAAACATCATATTGAATATTTCAGGGCTGTTACCTTAAGTTATTAAATGGCTTTAGTGCCCTAGCTCAAAGATAACTGCAGCTCCATTGTAAATAAAATGATTACCTTCACAAAATGTATGATTTAACCAGCTTTGTTTGGGATAAAAAGTGCTTTATGGACCATGATCAATAAAGACATAATAATAGTGAACTGTCCTAAGAGCATTTTTCACTGGACAGATTTTTAAAAAGTAATGGATAAAGCATTGCAAATAAAAAGAAAAATAAACCTCAGTCCAAGAACAGGACTTTTGTAAGACTGGTATTCTACTGACAGAAATTCTAAAGTCAAAAAGCATTGTTTATATCAGGTGTTCATTGAGTACAAGCATCATATTATGGGGTCTTTTATTTACCAGAATTATGTGCATCCAATTGGTGTGTACAATGTATGTTTTAAATAAATGAAATTTTTCATACTGAAAAGATCTTAAGTTCATAAATTAAATATTTTCAAGTACATTGAATTGTCTGAACTTCAAGCCCAAAGGAAATGGATTCTACTTATGGCATGCCTAGGAGTAAATAGATTTCCAGATAGGCTAAAAGGGGAAAACTGGGTTAATGCTGCTATCAAAATTATCTGTCTTCCCTTCCATCACAGTCTCCCAACACACACAGTGGCACTATCTTTCCAGTTTATAGCAGGTAATGACCAGAAGTCTCCAGAGCACCTCATCTAGCCAGAGGAGGGCCTGCTTCCTCAGAACTGTCTAGGGAAGAAGGGGTTACTATCGATGTCTTCTGGTAGCCCCAGGTGGGGAGACTGAACAGAGCGTTACACCCAAGAATCCAGAGGGGATGGGGGAGGTGGCCCCAGGCTGAGACCCAGAAAACGGAGAGCTGATGGAAAGGGAGAGGAATAGTATGAATGTGCAAGGAGCAAAGGAAAGGAAGGAAAGGGCATGAGAGTGGAAAGATCTATTGGAAGTAGAGAGAATGAAAGCCACCTGGTAGTGGACTGGAACAGGGAGGACCAGCCGGCATTGTCCGCCGGTGACTGAGCTTGGGAAGTTTGCCGTTTGCGCGCTGTTCCTTGAGGACACTGGGTGGCGCTCGGGGTAAAGACTTGCACTTCTGCTTAGGGTTTCCCCCAACCCACACTCCCTCCTCAACCCCTTTGCAGATTTCGGCTACTATAAGATGAAATTACTCACATTCTTCCTGCGTGTCTCAGTGGGGAGGGCACTGCTAAAAGAGTTTGATGCCGTAGGGCCACTTCACGTCTGGGTCTGTCGGTGGGTTTTGAGAGGCAACAGCAACCCGCCCGCTGGCCTTAGGAGAAAGCTCGAGGCCTTGGTGTCAGAACTACCTCACAGCACCAGCAAAAGTTGTAGCCCCGGAGCACCGATGCCCGGCGCGTGTGCGCCCTGAGCATGGGTCGGAAGCCGCAGCCAGGCCCGCAGCGGAGCCGGCAGTGCACAGATTCACAATGACTACATTGTGAAATGAAATGAAACTGTACTGTGCACAGACCCCGGCTGCTTTTAACTCAGCGCTCCCGCTCCCTCTCCGCTGCCTTTAAGGAAAGGGTGTGGGAGGGGAGTGGGGTCAACCCAGAAAAGCTGAACAAAGTCAAGAAAGTTTGAGGCTCTGGACCTCCGGAGACACACCAAGATTTGGCCTCACCCAGAAGCAGATTTTGCACTAGTGGCTCAAGTCTGTGTGAGGGCCAATGTCATAACGCTTTAGAAATTGAAACAAAGAAGTTACATTCTTCAGTCCCGCCCCACTTCTTTCTGTCTTTTATAAAATGTGGGAGACTATGTCTTTTTTGACCTCGGGGCGTATGTGTGGGGTGGAGGAATGAAATTTAGCAAGGTCTAGAGCTAACTTAACATTTTAACATTATGTTCAACCGGATCCCGAACTTCTAAATATTACCCAAATTCAGAAGCTTCCAGTCCCATCCTGGTTGGAATCTACCTTCTCAGCAAGGAGTAAAGGGTATCGCTAGCCCTGTTTAGCATAACCGCATTGACTTTATTTCCCTCCATGTTGAAACTCTTAAATCTGTATTAAACCAAAAGGGTCGGGCATGGGGGACCAGAGGAAGGGCGGCCTGGCTCCCTGACCCCTTGCCATTGCTGGGAGGCGCTTTGCACTGTCCCTGGCTTTGATTTGAGGAAACAATTCGTGTAATTAAATGGCAGGACAGATGTCATGTGACTCGATGGGTGCCGAGAACTTCTCCTGAGCAGAAACCCGGACCACAACCCCATGGGGTCAGCAGTGTTTCCCTGCCGCTTCGCAGCTCCTCACAGCCTAAATCTAGACGGTGAACAGCCGCGCGGAAATGGACGGCGCGCGGGTCAGGGCCGGCGGGCAGCTGCGGCTGTTTACCCCGGAGTCTACCTCAGCGGAGAAGTTCAGGACAGCGCAGGCCGCAGGCACGCGACTCGGGCCAGGGAGAGAAGGATGGTCTGGGACGCCAGCTTCGCTGTGCGCGCCCAGCGCTGAAGTCTCCCCCAAAGGAAGGGCGACAATAGCTGTGGTTTTATGGCGCCCAGACGGCAGAGGCAGAGAGTTGGTGCACGTGCGGCTATGTCGCTTGGAGTTCCGGAGCGGGCTGGCATTACGTTCCAGACACCCCAGATCTCCCTGCCAGCCTGTTTGGGCCAAGGAGCTTCACAGCCAATATAAGGCTAAACTAACACTAGAGACAACTAACGCAGACGCTTTCTTCTTCTGTCGGGGGAAGAAAGGGAGGGAGGCCAGATAGTCCCACCGTGGATATTCGATGGAGCTCCCAGGTTCTCAGTCTTGGACTCCCCCCCCCCCAGGAGAAGATGCTGGAAATCCCCAAATCAGGATCCAGCTCCCAGATTCACCTATTTGAGGAAAGAGGAAATGGGGAGCGGGAGAGACTCATGTTAAATTTCTAAGCTCCTAGCTGGATCACCAGTAGCACATCATGAAAAAGCAAACTTTAGACTGCGTATACCGAGAGTATGATTCTTGACTCCTATCTCCCTCTTCATGTGAGCTAAGATGTTTACAGGCAGGAAATAAAGAGGAGAGGATACAGGAACCCGGGCCTGGGGAATGGAGGGGCTGGGCCTTGGGTGCCACATCCATGCAGTCAGGAGGGGGAAATCAATGGGCATCTTCCGCCTTCCCAGAAAGGCTTTGATCCTCGTCTCCTTTTTCATCTAGGTGTTCCCATTTGTCCCTGGAGGCATGACAGATCATAGGAGGATCAGTTCACTTTTGCAGGAGTTTTTGGCCACTGAACACACTTAAAGACCCTATTCCAATGGCTCCAAACAGATGAGCATATTAAACAAGTAGGAGTGCTGGCTCTTCAGGGAAGCCAGCAATGATGATTTAGGTGTAATTCAGTTATTTGTGCTTAAGACAGTGATTTTTTAAAGTCGTCGTAAGGACTTTAGGAGCAGGAATTCTCTCTACCATTAACAGCTGAATGGGCAGTGTGCATTCTTGGGCATCCCTAGCCAACCCGTGTCTGAGAGATATCTTCTGCAAAGGAAGTTGTCTTTTTTTCCAAATCACAAATTTTCAACACATGTAAATTATAAGTGCTTCCCAACACTCCACTAAAAAAATACTGTTCTCTGTTCCTTCTTGCCTTCACCCTACATCCCTCCCGAGTCCCCATGTCATTATCAGTGTTCAATTCTACAGGCGCCCTTGGTGCAGCCCATGGGGGCGGAGAGATGGGGAGCAAGGAAAAACAGTCACCGACCTCATCCCCAAACATGCATTTTTGAAGCTGCTGATTAGAACACATTGTCTCCAGACATCACAGAGCTGGGTGCTTGGGCTTCCGCGTCCTCTTTGGCATTCACTAAAAACAGATTGACTGAGACCCTCCTCCCCCTACAAGCAAAAACACACGTACACACGCGCGCACACACACACATACATACACACTCCCCCCCACTCCATTCCCCCTCCCCCCCTTTTTAAGCAATGCTTTGTTGTGCTAAAACTAGTTGGACGAGTTAGGGTGTTGCTGCTGCTCCCGAGGCCCTGGCCAATGGAACCCGATCCACCCCGCTGTGCGTAAGCGCGCAATTAAGGATTTAACCAAGGCTGTGCTGCGCCTCAGCCAGCAGTCAGCCGGCCCGAGACAGAGACTCCACGACTCCCAGCCTCCTCCTCGCCGCGGCCACCGCCTCCTTCTCTCCTCCTCCTCCTCTTCCTCCTCCTCCCTCGCTCCCACAGCCATGTCTGCTTAGACCAGAGCAGCCCCACAGCCAACTCAGGCAGCTGCCGCCGCCACAGCAGCAAGCACAACCCGCTGCCGCCGCCGCCAGTGAGCGATGACAGGAGTGTTTGACAGAAGGGTCCCCAGCATCCGATCCGGCGACTTCCAAGCTCCGTTCCAGACGTCCGCAGCCATGCACCATCCGTCTCAGGAATCTCCAACTTTGCCTGAGTCGTCAGCCACCGATTCCGACTACTACAGTCCCACGGGGGGTGCCCCGCACGGCTACTGCTCTCCTACCTCGGCTTCCTATGGCAAAGCGCTCAACCCCTACCAGTATCAGTACCACGGCGTGAACGGCTCCGCCGGGAGCTACCCAGCCAAAGCTTACGCCGACTACAGCTACGCCAGCTCCTACCACCAGTACGGCGGCGCCTACAACCGCGTCCCGAGCGCCACCAGCCAGCCAGGTACTCGGGCGAGGGGCGGGAGGCATATGCAAGGGGGACCAGGACTCCAGGGTGCGAGGTGGAGTGGTAGATTGGGACCACGCCGTCCACTGCAGTGGGGGCGCACCTGGCAGAAGGGAGTAGGGGCCCGGATCCTGCAACCAAGAGAGGTTCTCGGGCCAGAATTTTAGAGATTCTTAGGGGAAGAACCCTGCGGGGGTTCGAACTAGCGTCTCTTTCCTCAGGCACTTTCTAGAGCCCCTCAGTCGCTGGATTCCCAGCTTTCCTGGCCTGGAAGCCAGCTAGGCTGCAAAGAGGGTAGGTGTGGAGAGAAGAATGAATCAAGCGGCCCCAGTGGCGTTTGCGTAATAAAGGAGGTTAGCTGTTGGACATTTTGGTAAGCGTGCTGGGTTGGTGCGAGTGGGAGTGGAAGCCTGCCTCAAAGACTCAGTCGAGATTAGTCTGGGAGCCGCCACGACCTAGCCTGGTGCCGGTGCCAGAGGCGCGCCAGGTAGGGATGGGGGCTTGGGGAGCTGTAGCCCGCCAGAGAAGAGCGCTCCGAGAGCTTTGCGGTTTATCCAAGGCATTTCCAAAAACAAAAAGCCATTTAAAGTTGGAGGAGGGTTGTTGAGGGGTCACGTTGTGGGAGGGATTTTTTTCTCCTCTCTCCATAGGTGCCTAAAATTTATCTTTCTCCTTCTCCCCACCTCCTCCTTTTTAGTTATCTTGAAACTTAGAGAGCTTAAGAGGGTTAGTGAGCTTTGGCGGTATAAGAGAGGCATGAGGTCTCCATGGAGAGGTTTTACTGGTTAGGTCTGATCTCTTCCCACCAGCACATTAATAATCCTGCTAATATTAGCATCCCCTCCTCTGGCAGACCACAGCACTCATCCTCCACCCTTCCTCTCCGAGGAGCTTCACACACACACACACACAATATGTGGCACTTTGGGGGGAAGGGGACTTGTGGCCCCAGGGCACGTTTGTAAAACAAGCGTTTAGAAAGTCTCCACCCCATCCACCCACCCCGTACTCAAGACAGTGAGAAATTCGTCCTGATTTGCCGCCCCTTTCCTACGAAAACACCCCACCACCACCGATTCCTTTTCAATGTGTGACTCTTGCTGAACTTTAAAAGAGAGCCCAGGGGTTAGATGTATTCGTTTCTTTCACTGTCTGTGCATTTCGTGCATAAGTGAAAGATTTTTTTTTTTTTTTTTGGCCAAGAACATATTAAGTCTATTTGCAAAAGAAACCAGACACATCTGTGCCCTCGCAGATCTGCAGTGAGATTATGGGGGCTGCATAATCGGCTCTCTGTCTGCGGTGGCCCCGACCGCTTGCTGCTGAAGTGAAGGAGCATAGTTTGCTTGTGGGTCTTTGAACTTTGGAGACCTCGGTTAGCGTCTTCCCTGCCCATGCGTCTGGTCTCTGCGGGCGCCCGAACAGACGCCGACAGAAGCGGGGTCACGGCCTGCCCACCACCCCGGAATCCCTGGAAGGGGGTGGTTGTTCTCGTCCCAGAAACTCGGGGGAGTGCAGGGTGGGCATAAAAACAAGTCTAGGGTAAGTAGGAACCACTGCAAGGGCTGAATCCCGGAAGCCGAAAAGGAAACTGTGCTGTACAGAGCGCTTTGCACAAACGTACCTGAATGAACAGAGTAGGAATTCAGAGACCAGCCCGCTTTTCCATGATTTGGGGGAGGGGAATATTTCTCTGGGTCTTGAAAAGCAAAGGTGATAATATGGAGGAGTGAAGACAGCATGATAAAAAACTCAAGGACTATATTTGAAGTCGTTCTGCAAAAGGGCCATTGTCTGGGGACAAGCTCTAACCGAGTCTGTTTTGATTATTTAGAGAAAGAAGTGGCCGAGCCCGAGGTGAGGATGGTGAATGGCAAACCAAAGAAAGTTCGTAAACCCAGGACTATTTATTCCAGCTTTCAGCTGGCCGCATTACAGAGAAGGTTTCAGAAGACTCAGTACCTCGCCCTGCCTGAACGCGCCGAGCTGGCCGCCTCGCTGGGACTGACACAAACACAGGTAAATCCGGCCGCGGCCGTGCACGGGACCCGCCTAGGCTGCAAGCCTGGCTGGGCCGCGCAGTGTGGTCCCGACACGTTGGAGCCGATTCGTTAATACCCAGGAGAAACTAACAGACAGAAAGACACCAGCCCCTGCGCCTTCCATGAGTCAGGCGTTGTGTGGCCGTCATGGGACGGCGGAGATGGGATTGATCGTTGGTCTGGAGATGTCCCCGCATCGGCCTCCGGGGGCGGGATGCCAATATCTTAGGTTGGAAACAAGGACGGGGTGGGGGGCATTTCTATGATGGTTTCGCCCCCAAGCTTATCTGGTTCTCTTCACAATGCGGAGCCTCCCTGGGGTGAACTGGGCCTGGTGGCCTCGCGGTGGTCTCAGGCCAGCAAAGGCTGAGAACGTCGCCTCAGGCGGGAGAAACTGAAGGGTCCAGCTCTGGGCCTGCGGGAGTTTCAGGCCTCAGCAGCCTGAGGGTCGCGAGGTGGGGGGCGCTGTTGTACGGGCAATCCTCCCGGATTGTCCGGTTCCCTTTACTCCTCTAACCCAGCTGGGGCCTATGGTAGCATAAAGAATGTCGAGTAGCCGTCCGCAGCTGCAGGCGGATTCTGGCCTGACAGTGCTGAGGAAGAAGTGAGCCGAGTCGGGCGGGAGGTTGAGGATCGCTCCCTCCACACGTGCGAGGGTAGCGAGCCCCCCCCCCCCGCCCCTTCCCCTCCAGGCTCCGGCCATTGTTTTGGAAACCATCGTCGCGCCGCGTTCCGAGCCCGGCGCAAGCCTACACGTGCGCGCACGCCGCCGGGGACACTCGGGCGCACACCCGCCGCGCTCGCGCCCCCTCCCCCAGCCCGAACAAAAGACAAAAGCCTCGGGGTCGTGCCCTTGCAGTGGCCGGTGCGCGCTGAGACTGGCAGGGCGCCCGCTGAGGCCAGTGCTCCACCGTTTGCCTCAGGCCCAGCTTCTTGGCCGTAGGCCCCAAGCGGCGGGGAGACTCCAGGGCCAGGCCGCCTGGGGGCCCGAAGATGCCTCCAGGAGCCGCCCTGGGGAAGGCGCGGGCGACTTCTGAGTGCCCCGGTAACGTGTGCCTTTGTTCCCCCACCCAGGTGAAAATCTGGTTTCAGAACAAAAGATCCAAGATCAAGAAGATCATGAAAAACGGGGAGATGCCCCCGGAGCACAGTCCCAGCTCCAGCGACCCAATGGCGTGTAACTCGCCGCAGTCTCCCGCGGTGTGGGAGCCCCAGGGCTCGTCCCGCTCGCTCAGCCACCACCCTCATGCCCACCCTCCGGCCTCCAACCAGTCCCCCGCTTCCAGCTACCTGGAGAACTCCGCTTCCTGGTATCCAAGCGCAGCCAGCTCAATCAATTCCCACCTGCCACCGCCCGGCTCCTTACAGCACCCGCTGGCGCTGGCCTCCGGGACACTTTATTAGATGGGCAGCTCTCTCTTGCTCTCTTCTTTGGGACTACTGTGTTTTGCTGTTTTAGAATATCATAAAGAAAGGAATTCATATGGGGAAGTTTGGAAAACGGAAACAGAAAAGATTCATGTGTAAAGCTTTTTTTGCATGTAAGTTATTGCATTTCAAAGGACCCTCTCCTCCCCTCCCCCTTTTTTACAGACGAACTTTTTTTGCGCAACTGTGGACACTATCAATGGTGCCTTGAAATCTATGACCTCAACTTTTCAAAAGACTTTTTTCAATGTTATTTTAACCATGTAAATAAGTGTAGATAGAGGAATTAAACTGTATATTCTGGATAAATAAAATTATTTCGACCATGAAAGCACAATGTTTCTGAAAAGTAATAGTTTCCCCCCCTGAAAACTGGCTAGTGAAGTTCTATGAAGGCAATTAAATGAAGAAGCTCTTCAGAGGTCTAACGAGGCAAAAGAAAACAGAAGTCGGGAGCTACATGCATGCAGACTGTATATGTGTCTATGTTGGATGCTGTACTTTATGTCTATATACGTATGTGGCATGCTTATAGTACTGCCATATCATATGTATATTTAGGTGGTTTTTGGCCTAGCCACAAAAAAAACCTTTAGATAAGTTTAAGTTTAAACTCAAATTGTTTCAGGTAGAAAGTAATACTGGAATCAAAAGACATACCTCCCACCATGTATGTGAATGAGAAGGCAACAGAAATCCCTCGGTAACTTCTCTAAATTCTTAGCTAAAAGCAATTATGGAGAACTGCCCCCCCCACCTCACTCTCTATGTAGTGCTAGAGCAATTAGACAAATTACCCTTCAAAGGGAGCTTCCAGAGATGAGAAAACGAAAAGAAACAAAAGGAAAAAAATCTCTCCCTCCTCACTCCTATTACATTTTTTTAAAAAATCTGAAATGTTTGGGGCATGGCAAATAGCAGAGCCTTGAACTCCTTGAGAGTATGATTATACATTCGTCTGAGCTCTTTTAGAGAGATGAAAACATCCTAGAGATTGAGAACAATGATGGATCTAAATCAGTAGGCCAAGCAGGACATGTTGGGGGGGGGGTGGCACGGAATTCTTTCTCCCTTCAAGAGAGGGAATTGCCAAGAGAGGGAACTTCAGGGTGGGGGAAAGGAAGGAATGAAAGCATTGTGTTGCTGTGTTGATTTCATTTTGCATAAGATAATATTCTTAATTTAAATGTTTTTCTTTTATCCTCTTTACTACTGTATAGTTTTTTCAGGAAGGCGCTTCCTCTGCTTTGTTTTTACAGAAACAGTGGCAAAGCAAGTTCCAAATGATACAAAAATCGAATCTGTTTTTTGGGGGAAGAATTCCTCCTTCTTGAAACCTTCTTTGGGGCAGAGAAGGACTTGCAGTCACAGTGCCCTCTGTCCCTTCCTTCTCCTTGCACTCCTGAATGTGATTATCAATGGTGTGACCAGAGCTACAGCCTGGTTTAAAGCTGTGCCCCTAGGCCTGAATTGTAGGCGTCTTTTCTGGTTGTCTGTCCTTTGGTCCACCTGACTCTATTTTCTTAGGATACCAAGGGAAATCTTGTGTTGGAAATTACGAGATGTGTGTGAAATATTTTACAGCCAGGAAGTCAGCAGCAGTAAATGTGGCAAAAAAGCCTTCTTGAGGGGGGGCGATTAGAGCATAAAAAATTATATCCTGTCATCTGAGGATTTCTGAGAAGGCTCTTCCAGGGTTGGGAGACTAAACCTGAAAAGGAACGCTGTGCGCCCTGAGGGGAATTTACCTGTGTGTGTGTGTGTGTCTCCCTCTCTCTCTCTCTTTCTCCCTCTCTGCCCTCCCTTCTTCTCTTGCCTTCCCTCCCTGAGGCCCCTCCTCTTCTCTCTGCACCTATCTTATATCGCCTCGATTTTTTCCTTCTCTTCCTCCCTCCTTCCTTTCTTTCCAGGAGGGATACCAGGCACGCCAGTTTGGAACGCCTTGGGCCTTAGAGGATTCAATGGTTTGAACGATCTTTAGACCTACCCTGCCTGGCCCCAGGGCAGAACACTTCGGTGATCTGGGCTGTGGACGCCTCCTGCTCCCCCACCGCGCAGTTTTCCCCTCTGCCCATTCCGCTCCAGCTGTCCTTTCTCCGAAGAAGCGCTGGCTAGGGACTGGGGCGGAGGGGGGCCAAATGGTGCCCCAATTTGTTCTCTGCGTTAGCAGAGAATAGGGGGATTGTGAAAGAAATGGAGGTATCTACTTCCTGCTTTACTCTCTTTCTAGAAGGGATTTCGAGAGTTTCCATTATATAGAAAGACGGCATTTTATTTCTAGCAACACCGGCTGGGAGAAACCCGCGTCCGCGGTTTGCAAACGCCTGGCTTTCCCTGCGCCGCCGCGTCTCCTTGCCCAGGGGTGCGTGTTTGGGAAGAGGGGGTGCAACCACTGTACGCCTCTAACATTTCCCACCGACTGGCCGCCTGAGAGTGGCAAGAATGAGCTTGGAACATGTTTTTTCCATTTCTGCACATGAAGAGAGCAGATATTTTTTCAGCTGCCCCCGTCATCTCCCCACCCCCATTGCGGGTGGGAAAAAAAGGGGGATCCCTTCATAACCCCCAATCAGCAGGCGCGGCCGAGCTGAGCGAAGAGCGGATTCTGACTCTTCCAGAGAAAGACGAGGGAAGCTCTTTTTTAATGACCACTCCCCCACCCCTAGCTTTGACGCTGCCTGTTGTTAAGGACACTAAAACCTCATTGCGAGGTGGCCAGGCCCGATGCCGCGCGGACACACACTTGGTTTCGAGATTCCTTTCCTTGTGCTAACCTCACTTCTTCCACTCGCAATGGTCTCTTCTCTCGCGCGGTTTTTTTTTTTTTTTTAACTTGATCTGGGAGCCATGGACAAAAATATTCTGGTAAACCAGTCTGCAGCGGGCTTTCCCTGGCACCATGGGGATTCTCCCCGGGGAATTTAACTCCCTGCTGTCCCGCGCCCAAGGATGTAAAAATAACAGATCCTCAGCAAAGTCTAAAAATATCTATGTAATGTTTCTCTCCCTCACCCTCCCTTCTACCTTTCCTCTTCTTCTCCATTGTTGATTCCTACATCTAAACGTCTACTCCCGGACCGGCCGACCCCACTCTCCGGGACTTCGCACTGGCCGTCCCTTCTGCCTGCCCCTTCCGGTGCCTAGCTTTCAGTCTAGTGCTCCCAAGATGAATCAAGCCCATCTCAAGATATTTTTCCCCCCGTGGGTCTCTTCACACACACACAAATCCCGAAATACTCCAACCCCTCACGCCCATCTTCAGAGCTCCTCACAAAGTCCAGGAGGCCTGGGGCATGCGGGCAGGGCCAGCGCCATTCTCAGTGCCCTGCCCACCTCCTAGGCCCTCCTGTAAGAGATCAGTTAAATTGGCCTTTGTTTGAGGCTCTGGTTGGGCTAGGCGGATTTCTGCCCCTTGCTTCCCCCACCCCCTTTTTCCTGGCGGCCACCTCCATGTGGGACAAGGGGCGGCCTGGGGATCCGAGCGAAGCCGCATTCCTGTGGGTGCCAGGCGGCTCCAGGGCTGAGCCACAGGGCCTGAGACACACACACAGAGGAACCCGCAGACCTCGCTGCCCTTGATCTCGCTCTCTCGCTTGCTCTCTCTCCCTCCCGTCGGGGCACCCACCCGGGAGCCTGTCCACCCACACTCGGATCCACCCAGAACTCGGCCCCGGGTAGCAGCGCGATGACCCACACAAAGACACACGCGCACACAGCCCCTCCCGGTGACACAGGCCAGGCCAGGATCTCCCCGCCCATGCCAGTCTTCTCTCTCCCGCCCCTTATCCCACAATCCCAGACGCGCCGGCTGGCCTCCTCTGGCTCCTTTGATCCCACCGGACGCCCCACGGCTCGCGGCGTCCTGGCCGCGCCGTCCTGGGAGTCACCCACAGCGCGCCAAAGCCAGACCGCTCTCACCTCCTCCCAGCTCGCCCTATAGCTCACTCGGGCCTTGACACCGCTCAGTCTCCTTAGCCCCAGCCTGAAGCATACGGGATGCCTGCTGGAACACTGCCCTCTCCTCCCCACCGCCCCTCCTCAGCGCGCTTCCTTGTATTCGGGGAGAGGGACCTTTAGGGCTACCCACCCACCCCATCCCCTCCCCATCCCTGCAACCCCTTGGATCGCGCGCCTCCCACTGGCCACTGGGATCTTGCCAACCGTGAGTTCTCCAGCCCTCCCCGGAGGCACACCCTGAGGGCAGACGCCCTTGGGCACCTCTGGGAAGCGCGCCACGCCGGCGGATCCGCCTGCGGTCACCCCTCTCCTCCACCCTTTAGCACCCCCACGCACAGTAGCTGGGTGGAGGCTCCAGCGGCTTCGGAGCTTGGGGAGGGGGCGCTGCGGCTTGCTCTTGCCGATTCGCGTTTCCAGGTTGCCCGCGGTATTTGCACATAGTACTTAGTTTTTTCAACCCTGGCCCAGTCACAGCGAACTCTGGGCCTCAAAAATAGCCCAGATAGCGGTGGCACATGTGGGATTTGTTAAATATTTTTTATGCAGCCCAGTCTCTTTCCCCCACCCTCAGCGTTTTCTTTTGCATCTGACAGGCTTTAGATTCCTCAGTGGTGCAGGGCAAAAAGTACACATTGTATCTACTGCCAGTGTGTGTGTGTGTGTGTGTGTGTGTGTGTGTGTGTGTGTGTGTGTGTTGGGTGGCGAGAGGAGGGGAAGAGGGGGAGAGCCTTCCCTTTCAATCATCCAGAGCTGCCGGCAGTAATGTAATAACCTGTTTTATAGGTCGAGCTCTAACCGTGAAGATAGGAACTGGGGGAATTTACATGAATGTCTCTTTAAAGGAGATGAGAGTCCTGTTTTGCAGCAATTAAATGTTTCTGCTCTTTTGTTCGCTTGAACTTATTTACTTCTGATTTATGGGGATCTGAAGGAGTCACTTTGCCAAAAGCGTATGTATTATTGAGTCTGTTCCACATCCTAAACCAAGATTTATATAAAACCGTGAAATACCACACATTACGACCTTTCACCACAGGAAGGAAAAAAATGGCTTCATAACACCATTCTACACACACACACACACACACACACACACAAACACACACACACACCCCTCCCTCCTTCCCAGTTTCAGTAAGGTTTCTCTGTGGAATCTTCACCATAGGTAATCCAGTGTTTTGTTTTGTTTTGTTTTTTAAAGAAGTGGGTGGGGGTGAAGGGTGGTAAATACTTCCCAAGCTACGATTTATATTAAAGCTTTTGTTGTTGTTGTTTTCCTGGCTAGGCTAGAAGACAGAAATCTGCCACTGGGAGCTTATTGTCATCCAAGGACTATTTCTGCCACTTGCCATTTGCAAGGTGGGGGAAGAGGGGCGGAGGAAGAAGCTGGATATGGACTCAACTTTCATCTATAAACAGGGGTCACTAAACAGGGGACATTTCATTATTGCCCTTAAATTCCCAGGAGCTAGGAAGCCAGCTTGCCACCCTGCGGGGTGGCCCTGGCTGGGCAGCTCCTGGGTCTGTGAAATGGTGGGAGGAGGGGAGAATCAACACACACTGGCCTGGAGGCTGGAAAAGATGCCCAGGAAATTCTCCGTGCTCATGGCGGGAAAATTGAGCTCCTGGGGATATAAGAGCTTTAGGTATCCTTGACTGGGAGGTCTCCACCATGAACCAGAACTGGACTCCAAAAGCCTCCACCAGGGCAGGGTTCATCCTCCTGGAAGCGACAGCTTGAACCCCCAGAGCGATTTGACTCTGGGACCAGCACAGTTCCCCAGTCTCTCTCCAGCCTCTCTTGCCCTAACTCTCACAGCCCCCCCCCCTCTTTGGTCCTCCCATATTTTAAGGAGACCGACCTTGCTCCTTCTGGCATATCAGTGATGTGTAGCAAAAGCAGCAGCTGGACTGGTTTATATGGGGAGGGGGTGTTAATTAAGAAAAGATAATGATGGGATTAAAACCAAAAGCTAGCCAAGCCGACTGGTGAAGACATCTTCCCAGCCAGCTATGTTTAATTAGCAGCAATTAATACATTCTCTGCTAATATCCTGTAGGATTCTTAATGATTTAGTTTACCATGAAAGAGAATGGAGATAGAGCACAGGAACACTTACAAGTACCCAGGGCATTTTGCTCTGATAAAGAGAGAAGTTGCAAATTCGTTTAAGAAAACGTTCATAAACCAGTGACTGGCATACTCTGAGGTCACTTTTGTGGAAACACTGGTGAAACTGACAAATATTTTTTTGCTTTGGGGGAGGAGCACTCTTTTTTTGAAGCAGAGAAATGCTTTGGGAAAAAAGAAAAAAAGATAGAAGGTTGAAAAAAAAAAGAAAAAGAAAAATTATTTCAGACTCCAGGCAGCAGCAGACGCAGCGGCCCTTGCAAACACATCAGCCCTGCACTATTGAAGATTTGGACACGTAATGCTTCAGACCACTGATTTGCTATTTTCTTAATTCCCGCTCTTCTTTTTCCATATGAATCAAACAATCTTTTGTCCTTCAGGGTTTGATTTGATCGCTACTGTTCACATTTCACTTTTGTATTTTCCTTTTCCTATACCATTACTCATTGAGTGCCCTGTGAAATTACAATCGTACATTTTCAACTCAGCAACCCATTTGCAGTGCAAAAATAGGGTCTAAATAATGGCTGAATTAGCCCTACTGGACAGTTTCAGATGTAACACTCTGTAATAATTATATTGCAGGCTGGATTAGGATGCTATTATCATAATCTGGACGTTTACAATTATCTGTAATTTGCAAAGATGCGCCAGGTCTTGATTACAGCAGTTTTTTTTTTTTTTTTTGTATCACGCTAACCATCACTAAACAGTGACAGTAATAACAGCTAATTTTGCTGGCAATATAAGAGGTGCTGGGGTGTGCAAACAATTTCACACCTGGATGTGCTCACTCAACCAAGAATATAGAGAAAGAGCTTCTGCCCTGAGACTCAGAAAAATATTCTCCTCTGCTTCGGTTCAGTATAGATTTCTAGACCCTGATCATTGCTTAAGAGATATGCACTGGGGGTAAGTTTTTATTTCTTGCATACTTCAAGGCACAGCTCATATTTCTTTTCTTACACTTTCCAAGCTATATGTGTTGCTGTTGTAATTTATCATGGACTACAACTTTTCTTTATAGATTTTTCAATTCTGACCTTTATCCCCCTTTAACAGTAAAAACGTGGTTGTTCTGGCGAGTAAAAGATTCGGGTGAGAATGGGATACTTAAGACTCGATTTGTCTTTCTTGCTTTCTATGTTGTTGATGTATTTGGTGCAACTTGTGACTGGAAACTGCAAAAAGGACCAGGTTTCTATAAGATATAGAGGGAGCCAGCTTGGGATAACCCAAGCTAAAATCTATAAAATTGTTACTCACTGCTCATCTAGGTGAATCCATTGAGGTCTTTACATGTGAACATGACTTTAGGTTTTGAGGCATCAAGAGATGGAAGAGAGCTGGAGACCGGGCTCCTTTAGAATCACAGGTATTCGGACATTTGCAAAGGCAGGTGTAGTCTGAATCTGTCGCCTGTGCAGCCCTTTCTAACTGGCCTCTGAAACCCTTCAAGGCTGCTTTTCAGGGCCTCAAGCTGGTGTGTGGGGCGGTGTGGGTAGGGGTAGGGTGCACGGATCTTGGAGCTATTGCCTGAGGAGCCCAAGCGCTGTGACCTTGGGGTTGGAAGGGCATGACTGGCTGAGGCACAGAACCGAGCCGCGGAGCTAAAAAAACAGTCTGATTTAGGAATGCACCAAGACTACAGCAAGAAGCGGTGCTGTTCTATCTATAGATGATGCTGTTTCCTGACATTGTAGACGTTGTAAGCCACTGGAGATGTTAAGTGCAAGAGCCTGAGAAATCTTAGGCTTCCCCACCCCAGTGCAAAAAGGCCTTTCTCCCATGGCAGAAGCCTTTTGACTAAGTTGTGTCTAAAGATAATAAAATGCTTATTGGTGCTAAAGAGAAATCTTCCCCTTCACCGCCGCCCCCAATCCCCCCCTATTGTTCTCTCTCTCTCTTCTAAATGGGAAATATGGTCAGAACTAGGCTCTAGAACTCGAACTCTACAACCTCTGGAGAAGTTTGAACGTGGGGAAGCGTAGTAGACACCACTACTAGGCGATGCCTTTTGCCCACGCCCCTCCTACCAATCCCTCCTCGGGAATAGGCTTACTATGGGGTCAATACATTCTAACCAGTGACAATATTAACCCTTGAGGTTCAGAGGATCCAGAGGAAGCCCAGTTCCAAGTACAGTTTGGAGGGACTCCCTGGCAGAATTTTTTGTTTAATTAATCTCATGTTAAGAGATAAAAAGATCGATACAGATGCATCATGACAACACCTCCATTATGTTAACATGCATTTGCTGGGTTTCAAAATTCCATGCACTCACAGTGGTTTGGCATGTATGTGGTGAATTTTTTTTAAAGAAAAATTAGTGTTGGTTTCAATGTATGGTAGCTTTCTAACGTAATTTGAATAATTCAGCAAAGCCCCACTACCAGCTGTACTTCTGCAGCCTCTTCCATTCTTTTCAGCATTATAATTTTGGTTAATTTTCAATTTTAGGTCCTACGTCTCTGCAATTTGTGTATGAATAACAGAATAATTTCCCTCTTTTGTTTCGCCTTTCCTGTTCCTGAATCTAAATAAAGATGGCTTTTTAGTATTAAAAGTGGAAGAAAATTACAGGTAATTATCTTTGACGGTAAAAACGCTGTAATCAGCGGGCTACATGAAAAATTACTCTAATTATGGCTGCATTTAAGAGAATGGAAAAAAACCTTCTTGTGGATAAAAACCTTAAATTGTCCCCAATGTCTGCTTCAAATTGGATGGCACTGCAGCTGGAGGCTTTGTTCAGAATTGATCCTGGGGAGCTACGAACCCAAAGTTTCACAGTAGGAAGGGGGAAAAAAGAAAAGAAAACATTTTTCCTAATGTAACAATGCGAATGCTAGAAAATGACAAGACTGATCAGTTTTAAACCATTCTGAAGACTGACTGAGAGTGGAAGTTGCTCAACAAAAAAAGGAGCGAGTATATTGGTAAGTAGTCTTTGCTTTGTGTCTAATTATAGTGACTGTCCTTTTGCACGACTGTATGTCGCTGTCATTATATGGAGCACTCTGAGTATCTCTATTGACTTCTGATAAATGGCTCAGTGGTTTCAAGGTTCATAATTTGAAGGATGCCCAGGTCTGTAGCCATTAATTCTCGCAGTATGGGGCTTCCTGCTTGTATGACGAAAGGACTTTTCATTTTCATTATTTCTGTGCTTTCCCCAAGATCGGAAGGATGTATTTCATCCAGGATAGTGCTTTTCCTACCTAGCTAGCTGGCAATGGGTTTTAAACATTAAGTAGGCATAATTGTGCACTTTACTTTCTGGTTTTTTTTTCTTTTATTCTTTCCTCTTTTTGTTAAAAAAAAAAAAAAAACTGCTTCCAAACAAAGACAAATTATTTCAGCTGGGAAAAGGGAAAGGAGAATACTCAGTTTCAGCACTAGAAACTACTGGATGTCTAGAGATTAACCCGAGGATAGGTCATTCTAATGTTTAAAAAAATACATAAATGTGTAGAGATTACAATAAAAACTGAATACGTAAAGAAAGCTGAGGAAATATCCGTGGTTAATGTTAAAGTACTTAAGACAAAGGCTAGTGGTGCAAACTGACATGTTTGCAGGCACTTGGTATTTATATATAGGACTTCCCATATTAGGAAATAGGAATTCTTTTAAGAGTGATAGAAAATATAATGGGAGGGAGGGGAAGGGAGGCAGAGGGAGGGAGGGAGGAGAGAGATAGAGACACACAGAAATATACAGGACACTCTCAGCGTTTTGTGGCTTTTACTCCATATATGAAAGAAGACAAAAACATACAAAGTATATGTACAACTAAAATTCAACAATATATACAGAAATGTTTCTTGATATAAATGTCCCTATTAGCTTAGTGAATGCCACCAATTCACCTAGTAAAGGTGTCAAAGCAATAGAATGGTGATTTTGGTTGTTTCCTCTGTCTTTCCTGATTCCAGTTCAGGGTTTGGGGATGGGGTGGAGAAAGAGCATTTTTTTTGTTTGCTTTGTTTTGTTTGTTTTTTAAATCAATCATCATTCTTGGTCATTGCATTTTGATAAAACATGCAGTGTTCCCTTTGAGGCAATGTTCTAATCTTACAGCCGTTTTTTCCTTTTTTCTTTAGAGAAAGGCTGTTATGTGAGGGTTTTTCTTTTTTTCTTTTCGTTTTTTCCTTTCTTTTTTTTTTTTATCAGTCTGGGATTGGTAAATAAAAATTCAGGAGTCCAAAATGCTTCTCTTTCATCGTGTAATGTCTTAAGCTTATTAAATAAGTAAAAACGCTGCCATGTTTGTGCAGATTCTTCTGGTGGGGGGAAAATGTCTGTAAAAAAAAGTCATTTTGATGGATACTCCCAAAGAGAAGAGGAGGCTCAGAGCCTGGATCCCAAGGGGTAAGGGAAAATATCCTTACAGTAAGGGGTTTCAGGAGTGATGGCATAGAAACCAATCTCCCCCTCTCTCTCTGAGATGTAGGATCAATTACTGAGGTTGCTCAAGGGAGAAGGCAAATGAGGAGAAGAAAGGAAAGGAAGAAAGAAAAGAAAGGTAGAAAGGAAAAGGAAGGAAAGAAAGAATGGAAGAGAGGGAAGAAGGGGTGAAAAGAATGGAGGGAGAGAGGGCAAGGGCAGGGGAGGGAAGACAGAAAGAAAGAGAGAAGAAGAGAGAGAGAGGGAGAAACGAGTGCCCAGCCGGCTTCTCCCCACACATAAGAGTTCTCTCGAGCCTGCTCCTTCAGCTCGGTTTGGCAGACGCAAGCAGGTCCCAGATCCTTCTTGCCTTATTCAGACGTTTCCCTAGGGTGTTCCCTTGGACAACTCACATCATCTGTGGTCTCTGCATCGTGTCCTGGTGTGGAGAGGAGTACCAGTGCGAATAGCCAGGCATGTAGCTGTTGGGGGGCATACTGACGCCCTTGGCTGAGGCGGAAACGTCCCACACTGGAGGCAGCGCCGGGGAGCGAGGCGACAGGGCTGCCGAGCCTGGGAGGGGGTCACTCTCATGAGGGTTACTGCCCTGCTTCAGCAGTTTCTTAAACTTAGAGCGTTTGTTCTGAAACCATATCTTCACCTGCAAGAAATGCAGCAATCATTAGGCCTGATAAACATGGCACTGGTATATCTAGTGTCACTCAAGGCTTTGGAAGCAATATTTTTAAAAAAATAAATAAAAACAAAAAAACAACCACTGCAAGAGCCAACAAGCCAAGTCCCCACCTTCCTCCACCTCTTTCTAGCCTCTTCTACTCCCCCTTCTTCCAACCTACTAGGTATCTTCTCTGGATACCTAAAGTAATTCTTGAGTTGGATGCTAGCCTGGGTTTAAAACAACAGCATAAGTAAGAATAAAATAAGAAAGAGTGAATGAGATGATTGGGTTCAAAGTCTAAAGAAGGATTTTTAAAAGGAATACTTTTTGGATCAAAGCCATACAATTGAATGCTTCTCCTCTGATAGTCTGTGTTTTTATATTTGTCAACCCCAAAAGCTGGTATCTCCATGCATGTACAGGGAGCAAATGACTGTAAAGAGATTAGAGCCTATACATTTAAAACTAAATACCTTGAACATATCTATGCATTTATTGCACGGGCCATAGACTATGCATGGAGCATCTTTCTCCAGACATATTATATCCCCATGATCCTGCAGGGATTAAGGATTGCACCTCCCTCATTCCCTACTTTGTGTGTTGTTTGGTCAAATTGTGGTCAACAATCATCACATGATTGTTAGCATAGTAACTAAAAGTCAAACGGCTTCTGAAAAACTAAATGTGAATCAGAAAACTGAGATGGAGCATATCTAGACCAACATTCTGGATTTACTTTATTTGAGGAAGGAAATTCTATGGTGAAGCTTCCTTTACCTTTAAAAAGAATATGTGTCATTAAGTAGCTGGAATCCCTTCATATCAAACTCCAAAGATTTTCAGTGGCAATATGGCAAGAGAAAACAGGCAAACTGGAAAGAAGAGCTTAAGGAGCATCTGTCTTAAGGCACTACACAATCAGTCCCCAGCAATAGTCTCATAAAACCTGAAATCCCCTTGCTAAAGATTACTTACCTCAGATGAGGCCTACCACCCCATGCAGCTAAGTTTATCAACAAGGACAAAAACTGCAGGTGATTGTAACCTGGCTTTATGACCAGGGTCCTAACATACTCACCTAGGATTCTTCCTGTGAAATCTGAAATGCCCCATGCATCTTTCAAATTGGTAGGACAGGAGAAGTTAAGTAAATGTACTTAACTGTGGCTTCATCTGCTATAATTTGGGCAATACTTCTCTCTAATCTCCAACTCTGCCACTGCACCCAAGTCCTGTGCTCCAGGGACATAGCTCGGACTGCACCAGCCACATCACCTAGGATGACTTAACCACTAAGTTTAGGGAAATCTTCTGAAAAACCCACCTCACTGATCCTAGGATGACTAGTTTACACGTTGGTGCCTTTACTAAACTCCATTGAAGCCTATGCCTTACCTGCTTTTTTTTTTCTCTATTTCACTTCTTAATTTTTCTATGTCAATGAGTTAAAATCTTTGTTAGCTCCCAGGACCTACAAAAAGATCCTTAAGAAAGGTGAACCTTATTCTGCCTCCTGGTTTGTACACCTTTTTGTTCTCTTTCATGTCATTCTGCTCAGGAATAGGATTCAATTGAATTATGAGTTTGGTCACCAAAAGATGCTAGGCTGGGGTGGGGTCGCCGAGGGCTGGGAGGATGTGCAAATCCAATCCAGTTTGCAATACAGGTCATTCATTCCAAACTGTGTTGTCCCAGGAAAGTGCAAGACTGGAGCAAAGGTATTTGTCATTAAGCTCCTTCCATCCTTGGTTGACTAGGCCAAGAATTCCTCCTGATGTGCTCCCTGCCGGATCTGCAAGCGGGGCCAGCATTTCAGGGATACTCGGGCTTCTCGGGAATTACCTGTGTTTGTGTCAGTCCTAAGGAAGCTGCCAGTTCGGCTCTCTCGGGAAGGGCCAGGTATTGAGTCTGCTGAAAGCGATGGTTTAAAGCCTGGAGCTGCAGGCTGGAATAAATGGTCCGAGGCTTCCGAATCTTTTTCCCTTTTCCATTGAACCTGATTTCCCCGTTTTCAATCACTGTAGTTTTTTGTTGATCTGCAAGCAAATGACACAGAGGAGCGGTCACCCGTGAGGCCACTGCTGCCGTCTCCCTGCACGTGGCCTGGCCTGCACCAGGTCTCCCCAAAGCCCAGTAAGGGTTTCCTCGAAGTGTCCCCACAACGCCCTGACCTCTCTGGGTCCATGGCGCCCGTGTGCTCCCAGTAGCTGCATAAGCTTTTCCCTGACCCTGTCTCTGGCCCTAACAATGCGCTGTGGCTGGGCCGGGGCGGGAGCGCCCGAGGCCCTCAGGCAAAAAGCGGCTCTCTGCCGCAGCGGAGGCGGCGCCGGCGGCTCTCTGGGGCGCGCCTCTTGGCTCTGCGAGGCTGCAGCTCTCTGGGCCGAACGGGGGCCCTCGGCCTGGCTTCACAGTGCCTGAAGCTGTGCTTAAACTACCCAGGGGTTTACGGGGCCAGTTGACTTGATGTCACCAGCTCCAAGCCTGGTGCATCAGGCCCCCTCGGCGTGTTCGA